TCCCATGAGTTTCTTTCTGTTGAAGGGCACATACACAAACTAACCCCTAGAGGGTAGAGCTCAGTCATGATAGAAATATTGTCCTTATTTAAAGATCTTGTATGTGATATTATAGTAGGCTACACTAGACTGATGGATGAAGAGAGGATCAACAGCCATACAAAGTAATGCAATCCAATGCAAAACACAATAAATCATGTAACCCCTTCATTGTTATTCTATTCGTAAGTTTGTTCAACATCACATTTTGTCAATGTAAAGAAGACCATGTCACAGCTCAAGATTCGGGTTGATGATTCTTTTATTCAACACGAATAAATAGTCACATCAGAGAGGAACTAGTGGTGATGATTCATCACAGTAAATGTTGTAGTCCAAGACAGTGTGCTCAAATAGAGTAGAGTGAAAAGCTTCAGCATCTTTACAAAACACATACAATCGTTTAGCACAACCTAAACAAAATAAAACTCCCTTACTCTGAGAGGAAATAACTTTCAGATATACATTTGTACTGTTGACACAACAAAACACAGTGATGACAGAACAGATTACTTTAAGACCCAACATGGGTCAGTTATCTTTTACAAAGTAAAAAGTTTACATCAAAAAGGTGAAAAACACTCCCAGAAAGTAGACGAGACTCATAAATTCTTGTCACTGATCAGTCTTAAAACAGAAGACTTTCAGGACTTAAAGGTATGTGTGATAATGCTGGTAGGCACAGGCCAATTATTGATTACAGTGATAAATCAATTAAAGTATATATGTTATTCACAGAATACTATTTTATACTTGTTTCTTTCACACACAAAAAAATGTGTTTGAAAACATATTTCCAAAGGTAAATGGAAATATCTGTCCAATATGACCTTGTGATGAATTAAACACTTTGCATAGACAGATCTTACATTTCAGAATAATATGTCTGATAATAACCTTTGACCAATGTGGTCATCTCAGTTTGTCTGGTGGTAACTCCAGTCTGTAGGTGTCTACCACGGCCTCCAGGGGGCGCTCCTGGCCAGACTCTTCTCTTTGGTGATGCTGGTCTGGACTGTGGAGCTCAGAAGAGAGAAGTCAGCCTCTCTCAGCGTCTTATCAGAGGAAGACTGCAGCTTGTTGAAGTGGTTCACAAGTCTTCTCTGGGACTGTGTCTCCACCTCCTCTTTAGACAGGAAGTGGTCCACCTCTTGGACACACCTGGAGTAGCCCGACAGGTGCTGAATCCACAGCTTGATTCTGCTGCTGCAGTCGTCTCAAGACATAAACTGTCATCTCCAGGATGTCTGCTTTCTCCAGCTTGGAGTCTGGCTGCTGTTTGAGGAACTCTGGACCCAGGAGAGACTTGAGCTGCTCAATGCTGCTGTTGATTCGCTCTCTGCGTAACTTCTCCACCAGAGGCTTTCTGAGCTGCAGAAAGAGGAACAAAGTCATTAATACACTTGTTCTGCAGTATAATGTTAGCATGAACAAAAACAGTCTCTCATGAATTACATTTAGTTTCCTTGAATCTTCAGTTTACCTTGTGGGTCAGAGTCAGATGCTCCTGAGAACCGGTCATTGCTGCAGTGATTGTAGGTGCCATGGCTGGATCTCTGTGCTGTAGAGGTCTCTGTTGAGAGAATCTGATCTCTGCTGACTTCATCCCTCCTTTTTATAGTCCCACATCTCCATATGAATGTGTGGGTCTTGGTCTGGCTGGAGTTTCTCACAGTCTCAGCCAATCAGAAAGCTTGGTTAGACAATCAGGCATGTGGAGCAGCAGCACACTGAATGCTGTTCTTGCCTGGGGGATAATGGTTCGATCTCAGGGGAACAGGTGGACGACTGGGGGGGTGATGGAAAGCGACTCAGAGAGCTCTGTGTGATTCTGGGAAAGTGGTGACCCTGTAGCAAGAGCAGATCTGCTGCCTGATGCTGGGATCAATGACTTTGACTGAGCACACGCTGATCATCTCATCACACACGTAGGACACTGACTGGGAGAGTGTCCTCAATTTTAAACACACTTTCATAATTATGTGGTATTGCTGCATTTGCACTATTAAATCAAACATCAGACCTTAATATTTTGACTTAAAGTTAAAAAACAAACATTTCTTTGAAAATCATATTGGTTGTTTTCCTAAGATTTGGCAGAATTGTGAGCTGGTACCACACATTCTTGAGAAAACACAAGTTAACACAATCTTGCAAGTAATCACAACTGTTATGGGTTCATACAAGTTAGTTTGTATATGGTGATGAGATGATCACTAAGTAAAACAGTAAAGTCAAACTCATTCAGCTGAAAGTTGTTCAGATGAAACAGATGTGCATTCTGTCTTGTGACAAGTTGTTCCAGTTACTAAAGAGGTTTCCCACACTGAATCCTTGGAGCTGTGCACCACAAAAGGAGTTTGAATGCCTTTTTGGTGACTATTGACCCTAGTTTCGCAAAGGGCAGAGCGTGACAGCACTAACCATCTGGAGGAAAACAACGACAGTGGCTTTTCAGTTTTTCAGAACTTTGGCTAACACTAAAACTACCTCATATTATTTACCACAATTTTTAGACTAGTGTTTTCTGTGATGACTCTCATAACTAATGTAACATTTATTCTAAAACATCCAAAAGTGAAGGAGGATTTGAATGGAAAGTTGGTTACAGGTAATTGATTAATACTTCAAAGAATTCCAATTTCCCTTTTTAATCCAGTAAAAATGTCTTTGCTCTCTTTTGTCCGTTAATTAACGTTAGGGTTCTTAAAACACATAGAGTTGAGACAAAGGTATATGTATGTTAAAACACGAAGCAAAACAAAAGTCTGTATGACCCTTGCTGTAAGGGCTGCATTGCCCTGGCAGTTTGGCACCCATCAATAGAATAAAATAAAAAAGGCTTACATTGAAATGATGCCCTGGTGAACAGAGGGGAAATTAAGTTGGCAGAAGTTAGTTAGTTGAATGAAATACAGAAAAAACAGTATAAGGAGAAAAAAAAATCTTCGTCTGAAGTGTGCCAACTCCCCCTGGAGAATAGTCAGGTGCTGGTGGGGTTGAGGATGCTAATCATGCTGAACTGTGACTCTGCCTCTCACAGCTTTCCCACACTCTGTCCATTGACAGAGCTCCCACTTAACAATAGACATGTGCCTTGTTAAATGCTAATTCATCCCCACACAAGGAGCTCCCAGCTCTCCCCTGAGGGTAAAGTTTGTTGGTAAGAAACTCTCTTGAATTACGAGAAGAGACAAAGAGAAATAAACAGAAATATTTGGACTGGGGGTGTAACCAGTCACCTATATGTGTTGTGTGCAGATTTTATAATTACATAGAGCTTTAAACTACTTTACTATAAGGAGTATATTACCATTTAACAAATGGGTCATAACACACTATAAAGTACTTGTAAGCAGACATGAGTACATTTTGAAGTGTTTATTAATGTACAATATTTGTCAACACTCTACTATGAGGATATCTTTTATATTATCACAGCAATGGTTTACTCTATTATCATCCATTATCTGTCTATGCACCAGCCTCAACTTTTTAGTGCCCACAGGATAAGTTATAGTTGTTGACAAATACATAAATACACACTTATATTTACTATATCTGACATTTATCAAATCTTTATACTGCTTATTACTTCTGAATAGGGGGGTAAAAGTGTAAAAGTAAACTGTCCTTTGGTTGAAAACATAGAAAATGTTGAAAAATATAAAATAGCTAACCATAATAGGCTATAAATTGAATATAAAAATCAGATTTGATAACTCAGCACAATTGTAATTTAATTAAAATTTAAGTGAATTTCTTTCTACAAACTTCAAAAAAATCACATTTTCACAGAGCTGGATTTTCAAAATTCTATATATAAAAATACAAAAACATAAAAATATATATATAATCTAAATATTCAAATAATCAGGTTTAGTGAGTAGAAAATGTAAGCATTTAAAATTCAGTAGTAAAGAATCCCCGCCACCCCCCCACAGACGTCTTTGTCTGCCTCTATTGTGCCACTGGGGCTCTGTGAGTGGGTTTTCACTGCTTTCCCACACTCTGTCCATTCACTGCTTTAAAGAACAAAAGAAGTGTGTCTGGTTGCACATCACATTAATTATGGAGTCAGTTTACGAGTTTTATCTCACTGCCTCTGAATGGAAATTCCTGTCATCAAGACTCGTCATTACCAGGCTTTTGTAAAATCTCTTTAAGGAATGCAGACATGCTAAGGATTAATGAACATTCAAAAACATTAATTTCCCCGTCCTTTAGATTCAAATTGCTCGTCTGCATTCCAGACTGTTTATTGTGATGGGAAGGATAAAAGGGAGTCTATTCCTTAATTTATCAGGTACTGGTTCTGGTGCAATAAGATGATGAATTTGAAGTTAAAGCTGTAATAGCTGCAAGAAAACTTTATTTAAAACATTAGCAAATCATCTTCATGCAGCTGTTGATAAGAAGATTTGTGTTTGAAAACTTCTTAAAAAAGGTGCCATTGCATCTAGGCTAGTATTATTTTTTTTTTATAAAGTTGGCAAGTCTACTACCTGAACTGCAGATTCAGCAACATTACCAGACCACCTAAAAAGAAACCAATAATAGTTATGTCTGTTATCGGACATAACTGATCCATGTGCCGTTTTAGAAAACACGCTTTCATTAACAGTCTCCACTGTGTGTGATGAGATGATCAGCGTGTGTCAGTCAAAGTCATTGATCCCAGCATCAGGCAGCAGATCTGTTCTCTCTACAGGGTCACCACTTTCCCAGAATCACACAGAGCTCTCTGAGTCGCTCTACCCCCCCCCCCCCCCCCCCCCCCCCCCCAGTCGTCCACCTGTTCCCCTGAGATCGAACCATTGTCCCCCAGGCAATAACAGCATTCAACGTGTGGCATCCCTCATTGTCTCACCAAGCTTTCTGATTGGCTGAGACTGTGAGAAACTCCAGCCAGACCAAGACCCACACATTCATATGGAGATGTGGGACTATAAAAAGGAGGGATGAAGTCAGCAGAGATCAGATTCTCTCAACAGAGACCTCTACAGCACAGAGATCCAGCCATGGCACCTACCATCACTGCAGCAATGACCGATTCTCAGGAGCATCTGACTCTGACCCACAAGGTAAACTGAAGATTCAAGGAGACTAAACATTATTCATGAGAGACTGTTTTTGTTCATGCTAACATTATACTGCAGAACAAGTGTATTAATGACTTTGTTCTTCTTTCTGCAGCTCAGAAAGCCTCTGGTGGAGAAGTTACGCAGAGAGCGAATCAACAGCAGCATTGAGCAGCTCAAGTCTCTCCTGGGTCCAGAGTTCCTCAAACAGCAGCCAGACTCCAAGCTGGAGAAAGCAGACATCCTGGAGATGACAGTTTGTGTCCTGAGACGACTGCAGCAGCAGAATCAAGCTGTGGACTCAGCAGCTGTCGATCAGGGCTACTCCAGGTGTGTCCGAGAGGTGGACCACTTCCTGTCCAGGGAACAGGTGAAGACACAGTCCCAGAGAAGACTTGTGAACCACTTCAACAAGCTGCAGTCTTCCTCTGATAAGACGCTGAGAGAGGCAGACTTCTCTCTTCTGAGCTCCACAATCCAGACCAGCATTATCAAAGAGAAGAGTCTGGCCAGGAGCGCCCCCTGGAGGCCGTGGTAGACACCTACAGACTTGTACAAAAGTGAAGCTCAAAGTGAAACGTCAACGTTGATTGAGCAATTGTACTTGTACTCTTGTCCTCATTCCTGTAGTAGTCTTATGTTGAAGAGTTATTGCGTATGTTACTGCAATTTGTCACTTGTATTACCTTTTGTAAAGGTCAGATTCTGTAATATTTGCAGACAGCAGGTTGGCTACCATTTTCTATTTCAAAGGTAGTCATTTATTTCTGATTCAGGTACTGAAGTAAACATTATTGTTCCCAATGGGAATGCCTATATATTGTCAGTAACACTGACAATGATGTATGTACTTTTCCTCCATTTAGGAGAGACAGTTAATCATGTTGAACATGTGTCAGATTTATATGTGATATCCACATACTCTGTTGATTGAAATGTCTCAATTGTCTGCATTTTTAGCAGATTCATACTGTGTATGAAAATTTTCATCAAGACAAACGTGCTGCTTTATAACTCTGTGAGTGACAGCACTCATACCTTCAATGAAGGACTTGTTTGTAAAATGTCTCAATGTGAATGTATCTCTTCAAGCCAAGTGATGCGCATTAAAACAATCACAGAAAAAAACAGGAAAAAAAGTTTGGATGTGTCATTTTTATCAACTTGTATAAATCACAGGATATTAAAGCACCAGATCAAAACCTGCATATTCAAATGTTAAAGCAGGACATTACAACATGTGCAGAATACTGAGCCAAATGCTTCAGTAACACTCAGCAACAACTGACTAGTGATTAGTGAGTTGATTAGAGTGATTAGAGGGGTTTTAGTATTTGCTACACAGTGATTCCGCATCTTGAAAAGATGCCACAAACATATAGTATGATGGACAAAAAGCTAGATAAGGTAGACAATCAGACAGCAGCTGATTCAACCCTTCAGCTGTGAGCTTATGGTTCACATCACATCTACAATGTCTGTAATCAATGCAAAATATGGTGTTATACAACTGGAAAAAAACAACATAATGTCTCTCAGGAAGATGTTGGGCCTTCACAAGTCACCAGAACAGCTTCAGCGTAGATTCACCATGTCTCTAGTCTGCAACCTGGGGTGAACACCCTTCTCCTTAAAGCTACCACCTCATTTTGTGTTTTATATATTATTGGAAAGCTGTGCAACATATTTATCTCCCATATGCGTTAAACTGGGCTGAGATCTGGTGAATGAAAAGGTCATATATTCACATTCTTTTCATGCTCATCATACAATTCAGTGAACCATAAATGCCCTTGGTGCACACATATGAATTTGTTATGTTTCTGCTTGTTTTATGTTTGGTTTTTGTTTTTCGTTTTTTGTCACCTGCCTGTACATGTGCTGTGGTGGCAGTTAACAGAGGGTCTGTCATGGAGCAGACAGTGCTGATGCTCCTGGTGTTTACAAAACATTTGTTCCACTTAACTACTTGAACTATGATGTAATGCAATTATCTATAAAGAATATGACTAATGGCTAAGGTGGCTTTGGTAGAACAAGAGAAGTTTGAATAATGTATTTCCCCAAATTTATTTAATTAAGGTGACATGACAAAGACTTGCATCCTTTGCATGTTTATTTTCTTGAAATGTGAAAAAAAAACACAAAAACAAATTTCAATCCACTTTGGATAAATTAAAAAAACAGTGAATAAACTGAAATATGCATACATGGCATACACAAAACAATAACAAATCCCTTTTCAGAAGAAAGGTTGGTGTTTAAGAATGTGATACTTTATACCTTGAAACAAGGCAGTAAGATACTGTATGCAAACTGTAATCACACAATATTTGCCTATACAGTATTTTCACAGGAAGAATAGGTTAATATTGCTCTGGCTTAAAAATTTAAGCAGATTTTACTGCAGTTAATCAATACATTTAAAAAAAATATGGTCCTTAATATTTAAACATCAGCATAGTTAAGAGACCAGATTTATCTTCTGTGATCTACAACCCTGAGAATCGTAAATCCCACAAATAGCAGCACATGTTGTAACGACGTAGCCACTGACTCTTCTTCCCAGTCAGTGACCTCTTCACATTTTCCTCGGAATCATTTTCTTCCTCTGGCTACTGTTGTTGCCAAAATGAAACCGTATCATTTGAGGATTCTGCAGATCTGCTTGTGATAGTGCAAAAAATGCATTTCTCTAGAACAGAGATGTAGCTGGCATTGTTAAATCTGTAGTTCATAAATCAATAAACTGCAGTTGTTTTAATGCAATGTCAGTGATTTCTTATTGTCCATTCCTCGTTGTCATCAAAAGCACAGTGGAGCCAAGTCTTCCTCTGCATCGGGAAACAGCCGTAAAATGTCCCTTGAATATTTGGAGAAGCCGTTGTGTGACAGCAAGGCTTTTCTTAAGGTGAGGAAGCACTTTGTTTTTTCCAGGATGTCTGAAACAGGGATCCCATTCTGCAGGTGTTCTCCAATCAGAGCCTTCAGCTTCTCCACTCCAGTGCAGCATTTCTTCTCCAACATGTGGAGTTTACACCTGAGAGAAACAGAGTCGTGAGTTTGATTATTATGTTCACTAGTTTAGTAAAAGGAACTTTATACAATAAAAATGTTATAAAATACAACAATTAAAAAAAAGAAGAAATGTGGCTTTGGCTTACCTAAAGAGCTGCTCCTTTACGCTGTCTTGAAGAGCGAGGTCTGCATAAAGAGCCATTTCAAGGTTTGCTTTGTGTGGTGGTAAGTTCTGCTGTTGCCTGCGAAGGTTCAGAGGACGTCTTTGTTGACATCTGCGTCTCGCCTGTGCATTTATGCTGCTAATCTTGCATTCTCTCTGCTTTTCAGCCAATCGGGAGGCTCACAGCTCAGAACAATAGAGTGAATTTAATGCCTGTCACACAGAACAGGTGGGATGCTTTATCTGCATGCCACAGATCAGCAAGGTCACTGGGAAAATATTTTTCCTGAAGTGGACATGGGAAAATTTTGTTTCTCACTGCTTAGACCTGAACACTGATTAGAATTTGACATAAGCGAAAGAATCCAGGCAAAGACCCTTTAATGATGCTAAACTAGGAATGTGAAAATAAAATAAAACTAAATATTACATTACATTTACATACAGTTAAACTAAAAATCATTGTAATGTTTTAATGGCATCATAAAATCCTGACAGGAAAGGGAAGTCAGTTACACTTTAAGGACAAATTTCTGTTCTTTCTTTAATGAGATTAATGTTCAGTAAACTCTCTTCATCACTGCTGAAAACTAATAGATACCAAAATAGCAAAGAAAATCATTTTTTTTAAATTCCCCAAAAGCTGTAATAATGCTTTAAAGTTATATTTTCTGACTCTGTGTGTCTCAGCGGTGAGCTACAGCTCAACCAGATGGCTTGTCTGTGAAATGACTTTCGTCCTGAGAACCGTCCTGAGGCTTTGTGAGAGTAGACACACTTCTATTGTGTGGGCAGCTGAGCAGGCTGCATACAGAAGTGTGGGAAGCCGTGTGTCGATGTGGCTCCCAGCACCAGAGAGAGAGGAGGGCGTGTGACCGGGGCACGTTCAGCCTTGTGCAGGGAGCTGTGGGAGCTCAGAGGAGGGGAACTAGGAAACCTGAGCCCCTACACAGACAGCCGATAGACATGCAGACAGATGGAGAGGAGATAAGCAGGAAGGTAAACCAACCTGAACCTGATTATATAGCTTGCGGTTGTCTTAGTGTGTTCACAGAGGATAATGAACAGAAAACGGCAGCACATTTCTCCCAGACAAGAAAACAAAATGTATACTCCTTTCTCAAAGTGCATCAAAAGGATTAAGTACAGGTAAAAGAAACAAGTCATGTCAATGATCATATGTCATACAAATTAATGACTCTACTTAGAAAAGCAATAATCTTACAAATAACAACTTTAAAGGATTATTCATAATCTGTCCTCCATAAGTGTCTGGCAGGCATTGCAAAGACATTAGACTACATTATTATGGAATTTGCTTGAGATTTTATGTCATATTTTTGGTTCTATTAGTCAATCAAATGCATTTTTCTGACTACACCTAAACTCACTGTCAACTTTGAGCATAACCAACAAAAAAAACATCCTTAATTTATGTATTGTGTAGGAAGTCTGTAAACTGCAAAAAAATGTATGAGTCAACCAACACCCATCCTGTTGTGGGGACAGCCCAGCTTAAGGTGAGTGTCCTGGTTTCCCTTTTTTTTCTCACTTTATTTCACCCATTGTTTTGCTCTGCCTGCCTCCCTGTGTTCTCCTCCTCTCTTCCTCGGCTCCTGAGCCCAGCCAACTACCTGCACCTGCACCTCATCAGCCGCCTTGTCAGCCTGCCACACCTGCCAGTAATCAACCTCATCCCTGCCTGTATTTTAACCCCGGTTCTCCACACCATCCTCGCTTGATCGTCGTTGCTCCATACCCGGTTCACTCACCCTCGTCATCCGTTCAGTCGGCTGGGCTCATCCTTCGGTCCTCTCCTCTCGGGCTTCTTCCACGGCGCCCTCCCGGCTCCTCCTCGCCTCACCACCTGTGCCTCGCCTGCTCCTCGGTCCTCCGTGCCCGCGTCCCCCGGCGTCCACCTCTCCTCCCTCACCTCTTCCCTAGCCCCCTTCGTGAACCCTCAATAAAACCTCCTTCCCTCTGAGCGTTGCGTTTGGGTCCTTTCTGTCCCGTCTCCCAACACATCCCATGATTAAAGCAGAGAGCCAACAGAAATGGTTATTGTTTACATTACATTACTGCGTCTTTCATTTATGTTTTTGCCTTGAGAATAAAATCTGTATATATCTGCATAATGGCTGTTAAGTTTTCTTGAAGATCCAGTGAGAAAGTCATGTACGCATAAATGTCATCATTTACAGTCAACATTTTCTTTGTCGTTGACTCTTTCATTGACCTCTAGCTCTCTCTTTGGTAAAAAAAAAACAACATACATGGATGAAACTCCATTAGCTTTATGTTGATGGTGGTTAATTGCATGTTATTTAAATATTCCAATAAGGAATTTATTGTAATGGGGCCAATAAATGATTGTAGCCACAGTGAGATGGAGAGTGTAGAGTGAAACATGAAATGTAAATTCTAAAAATATTATTAAAAAGCTGGGAGACAAAATAATATTAGAACACAAAATTTACAAATAGCATTGTTTGTTTATTTTAAAAAAAGGCACATTGAGCCACTTCAAGTATGAAAAGCTCTGGCTATACATGATCTTAAATCACAACAACAACTTGAAGCTTTCTCCAAGACACAGTGTAGTCAGTAAAGCAACAGTTATCTTTATAAAAGACAAAACAATCTTACAAACGATTCAAATTAATATTTTCAAACAAGAATGATAATTTGCTCTTAATAAACACAATCAAAGCAGTAAAAACTGACCTTAAACAGATCAAAATGTTCTTATCACAGAGTGATGACAGCAGGTTAATAACCACTGAATACATGAGTGTTCATCAAAGACAACATAACAGTCACTGGAAAAAGGTGACAGTGTGACACTAAGCAAACCTTTCAGAAAAAAGGATAAACATTTAGATCTTAAAACTGATCAGTTTTGAATAATATGAAAGAATATAGTCCATTATGACAATATGTCCATATAAATGGCATGTTAACATGTTTTGATCAATATGATCAATATCAATAAAAGGATAACATATGGTTCCATATCATTATATAATACCAATACATGAAGTACAGTGAAGTATAAAAATAATTGCTGATGCGATCAGATTTGGTTCATGCAACATGCATGACAAGATGTTCTCTTTCTAACCTTGAAAGATAATGTTGCTGACATTTAGGAAATGTCATCTGGCACAAAAAAAAAACACAAAATGCAGCTCCTGTACATACAGACGAACAAGTCCATAACATTTCAAAGAATTCAGTTCAGAAATCTTTGACCAATGTGGTCATCTCAGTTTGTCTGGTGGTAACTCCAGTCTGTAGGTGTCTACCACGGCCTCCAGGGGGCGCTCCTGGCCAGACTCTTCTCTTTGGTGATGCTGGTCTGGACTGTGGAGCTCAGAAGAGAGAAGTCAGCCTCTCTCTGCTTCTTATCAGAGGAAGACTGCAGCTTGTTGAAGTGGTTCACAAGTCTTCTCTGGGACTGTGTCTCCACCTCCTCTTTAGACAGGAAGTGGTCCACCTCTCGGACACACCTGGAGTAGCCCTGATCGACAGCTGCTGAGTCCACAGCTTGATGCTGCTGCTGCAATCGTCTCAGGACACAAACTGTCATCTCCAGGATGTCTGCTTTCTCCAGCTTGGAGTCTGGCTGCTGTTTGAGGAACTCTGGACCCAGGAGAGACTTGAGCTGCTCAATACTGCTGTTGATTCGCTCTCTGCGTAACTTCTCCACCAGAGGCTTTCTGAGCTGCAGAAAGAAGAACAAAGTCATTGATAAATTCATTCAAGGTGTAGTGTTAGTATAAAAAGACAACATTTCATAAAATATTGAGTTTTCTTGAATCTTCAGTTTACCTTGTGGGTCAGAATCAGATGCTCCTGAGAATCGATCATTGCTGCAGTGATTGTAGGTGCCATGGCTGGATCTCTGTGCTGTAGAGGTCTCTGTTGAGAGAATCTGATCTCTGCTGGCTTCATCCCTCCTATTTAAAGTCCCACATCTGCATATCAATGTGTGGGTTTGGGTCTGGTTGGAGTTTCTCACAGTCTCAGCCAATCAGAGAGCTTGGTGAGATAATCAGGCAAGTGGAGCAGCAGCACGCTGAATGCTGTTATTGCCTGGGGGACAATGGTCTTAGTGGAACAGGTGGTGCAGTGGGGGTGATGGAGAGAGACTCAAAGAGCTCTGTGTGAATCTGGGAATGCGGTGACCCTGTAGCAAGAGCAGATCTGCTGCCTGATTCAGATGCAGATCCTGATCATCCCATCACACATGTGGGAGACAAACATTTTTGGTGTAATGTAAAAGGATAGAAATAAATCCTAAATTTAAGTAGCTTTTCGTTTGCCAATTATTGAGCCAAAATCCAATGTGTAGCAGCTAAAATACTTTGACTAGATACATTGTTTAGTTTTGCTTAATCCAAAATTAAGCTTTTGCAAAACAGTATTGTGATTCAGGCACTTAATAAACTCAACATAATAATCATGCTGCTTTCCAGATGTAGCATAGTAATTTGACATGTGCCTTGTAGTTAGTGTGAGTAACAAGTTGAGCTCAGTTTCCCACACTGACTCCCTGAATGGTCTGGTCAATGAACCACTTCTGTGACAGATGCTGGCTGTGTGTTGTAATCGAAACAGAGCCTGACATCACCAGCCATCTGGAGGGAAAGGACGCCATTGGCTGTCTCACTTTGTTACATCTGAAATGTAGGTAAACAGTTTATCATCAGTTATCACCAAAATGATTTGTCGTTTTATATTTTTCTGTTTCCAATCAGTCATACATTGTGCCTCTCCAGTCATAATCCCGCCTCATTACTTACCATCAACTGGACCTAAATTTCAGCATGAGTCTTGGGGGTTTCCTGGTGGGGGGCAGATGTTTTCTGAAGTGTGCCAAATCCCTTTGGAGAATTACTTGCTGGCTGCTGGTGGGATGGATGTCATTCACACTAAACTCTGCTCTCAAGAGCTTTCCCACACTCTGTCCATTAGCAGAAATAGTCATTTGCCTCTCTACAAATCGTCTTGTTGACAGTACTGTGCACAAGCAGTGTGAGCGCTGAGGGTGAGTTTGGGACCCCGAAATATAATATTTAGACGTTAAATTAAAAAAATGAAAATTTGAATTAATGACTTTCCATTTTAGACACATGTTACACGGTCAATCAAATAATATTGTAAAATGCAAAAACATCATGTTTGTTTAATGAGTCGGGGTCTGAACATCAGGGCAGACGATCATTATGCCATTTTGTCCACTCAGGTAGATTAATTAATGTGACAGGGAGTAGATACTGGATCGTAGATATCGCCTCTTGCGCCAAAATTAAGATCCAACTAGGATAATAAATTAACACTAGGGCCCAGATGTTCAAAAAGTTTAATCTGGATCAGAATGATCCGGATTTGGAAATCCCATGTTTTTCTATTCAGGATTACGTAACCCATTTTATTTTTGTGCTGGTTTTTCAAAGTAATACTGGATTGGATCACGTTAATCCACATACAAACTTTTCAGGATTACCAAATCCGGATTTCCTGCTCTAAATGGTACTACATATGACAAAGTAGGCTGTTAATGATATAAAGACCAACAGGTAGAAGCGTCCTTTCTGTTGGGATCAGGATAATCCAGATTTTTTGGATCAAAGGGATACCAATCCTACTAAAATGTTTTGAACAACACAAACTGAAGGTTTGATCCAGATCAAAATCAGGATTGGATTTGTTGATCTGATCCGATTTCAGAATCCTTGTTTTCTTTTTGAACAACACATTTTCAAGATTTGATCCAATCCGATAGCCAAAATCCATTCAGATTACTTTTGAATAACTGGGCCCAGAAGATTAAAATTTCTTGTTACTCAACATTTACAAAAGTAGTGAGAAGGCCAGCTACAACATTTGAGGAAACATTAAAGACTGAGACAATGTAACAAGAGAAGAAATTCAGCCACAGTGACACAGAAGCATACACTTCAACAGTTAGCTAACAGCTAATGTTGGTCCAGGGCAGTCTGTTAGACCAACTCGTCCATCTCGAAAGGACGTCGTCTCTGACTGGATCTGTGGTTCTCATTTGGAACTCCTTACCGTTAATGGATTTAAACAACAATTTTACTGAACACTAGTGGACCGTGATTTACCAAACCCACAGGTGCAGTAGTGACCGAAAGCATATGATACCCAGACCGTTCACCACCAACCATTGTCCCTTCAGTTGACAGTGGTGAGTAACTGTTAGCTAAAGCTTTAATTTAACGTAACATTAGATTACTTTTTACATTCCACACAACTGTTTGGGATTTCTCTTAAAATGTTGCTGTACATTGTGTTGAATAACAGATGTTAGTTTAGCTATGAGACAAAAATGTAATGTGAATCCAGGTGATGTCTCTTTCTAAAGTATGTTGGTGCTTGATTTAGTGATGTTAGTTCCCGATTGTTCTCAGTGTTCTTTATAGCCTATACACATTTTCCTGTGTTCAACAGCCTATTAGCATATTAACAGTGCGCAGTAATTTTTTTGTTTCAGCTATTTCAAAGCCTGATCATCAAGAGGTTGTAATTCTGAGAAACGTCTCGGGTTACGTATGTAACCCTTGTTCCCTGAGAAGGGGAACGAGACACTGAGTTGGTGACGACACTATGGGAACGCCTCTGGGCGTGGCAGGGCTGAACTATGAATGAAACTACTCCAATCCTATTGGTGTTACTAGAACGGTAGTATGTGACGGCGTAACCGGAGGGGGTATATAAGCACGCCGGCACATAGGACACATTAGCCCTTTCTATGAAGCAAGGCACTCCAGGTGGGGTGACGCAGTGTCTCGTTCCCCTTCTCGGGGAACAAGGGTTACATATATAACCCGAGACGTTCCCCTTCGAGGGAACTCGAACTGCGTCGGTGACGACACTATGGGAACGAGATACCCACTTAGGCTGCACCGAAACCCCGCCTGCCCCCAGCGTGCAGAACCTGACGGCACGACTAGGAGGAGAGCGCACGGGTGCCGGGTGCCGGGTGCAGAAGGCAGGTCCAGACTGTAAAACCGGATAAAAGTGTGAGGGGTGGCCCAGCCAGCCGCGTCACACAAATCCTGGAGCAACGCCCCTGCGAGGAGGGCCCGAGAAGCCGCCATGCCTCGAGTAGAGTGCGAACTTACGGGCATAGGTGAAGGCAAACCGCGCACCTGATAGGCCAGGGAAATAGTCTGAACGATCCAGTTGCTGATGGTGTGTTTAGAAGCGGGGAGCCCTGCCTGGGACAGCAGGTCTCTCCTCAGAGGCAGCCTCGGCCATGTCTGCACCATGGCATCCAACCCTAGCGGGGCTGGGGGCGAGAGGGAGAACCACAGGGGACAGTGCGCCGTCTCTCGGGACGCAAACAAGTCCACGTCTATGGGGCCGAACTCTTCGCATAATAACTCTAGGTCTGCTCCTTGATTCTGGGTCCCAGGGATGTACGCTCTGAGGGACAGCAGGCGCGAGCGCAGACCCCCCTGGTGATTCAAATAGGCCACCACTGCCGTATTGTCGGTTCTGACACGGATGTGGCGACCGCGGAGGGCGGGCAGAAAACTCTTCAGAGCTCTGAAAACCGCCTACATTTCCAGGCAATTTATGTGCCAAGAGAAATGATGCTCCTCGCAGGAGCCTCTCACGAAGCGGCCGTCCATGACCGCGCCCCATCCCGTGAGTGAGGCGTCTGTTGAAATAATTGTTCGGTGACAGATCGCTCCCAACACGGGACCTTGGGACAGGAACCAAGATTTCCTCCATACAGACAAGGAACGAAGACATCCACTCGTAACCCGTATCAGACGGAGCGGATTTCCCCTCAGAGAGAATCCCTTGGATTTTAGCCACCACTGCAGGGCTCTCATGTGCAGTAGTCCTGAAGGTATTATACTGGACGCTGCTACCAGAAGACCCAACACCCTCTGAAAGTGTTTTACAGTGATGGCGCGGCCTAACTGCACTCTGGTCACTGAGGACAAAATGGACTAATGCGTGCGGGAGACAGGTGGGCCCGCATCGTCGTTGAGTCCCACACCACCCCTAGGAGCGGAGTCCGTTGGGTGTCAGCACGCTCTTCTTTGCGTTGAGCCGTAGCCCCAAACGCTGAAGGTGGGCGAGGACGACATCTCGATGCCGAACCGCTAACTCTCGAGACTGGGCCAGGACGAGCCAGTCGTCGATTTAGTTCAGTATGCGGATGCCCTGGAGCCTCAACGGAGCCAGAGCTGCATCCATGCATTTGGTGAACGTGCGGGGAGATAGTGCTAGGCCGAACGGAAGACCCCGATACTGGTAAGCCGTGCCCCCGAAGGCGAACCTCAGGAACTTCCTGTGAGAGGGACGGATGGAGATGTGGAAATAAGCGTCTTGCAGATCTATCGTGACAAACCAATCCTCGAATTGGATGTGACTGATGATGGCTGGGATGGTAAGCATCCTGAACCTGAATCTCCTCAGAGATTGGTTCAGGGACTGCAGATCCAAAATTGGACGCAATCCTCCGTCCTTCTTGGGAACCAGGAAGAATCGGCTGTAGAAGCCGGCTTCTATGACCGGTAGGGAAATTAGTTCTATGGCGCCTTTCTTCAGACTTGAGGTCTCAGGACCTCTTCCCCCGGGCCCGCCGAGACTGAATGACGGTCCTCAGATCCGTCTTCTCGGGGGGCTGTGGGCGAGAGCGCCATCTTGCGTCCCAGGTTGGTTGAGGGGGATCCCATGAAGCGACGCTCTGCTTCTGGCTGCGGCGGTAGGTACTGGATGAAGGCTGCGTCCGCCTTTCCTGAGCCGTCGCGGTCCTGGAGTCTGACCGGTCGTTCAAACGCCTCTCCCTGAGTTTTGGCGTGCTGGAACCTGTTGATAACAGCATCCACTGCTTCGCCAAACAGGCCAGAAGGCGAGAGGGACGATAGGTTGAGCCACAGATGGCGCTTCGTAGCCACCAAAGCCGCCATGGATGGGCCGATGGAACGGGCCGTTTCCTTGGTCACACGGAGAGCCAAGTCCGTCACTCTATGCTCCGTCAGGTCCTCCTCAGAGGGACCTCCCCCTACGTCACAGTCCTGAAGGAGATCGGCCTGGTATGCCTGCAAGACAGCCATCGTGTGCAGGCTGGCACCAGCTTGACCCGCTGCCATGTAGGCCTTGCCCACCAAATCGGATGTCATCCGACATAGCTTGGTGGGGAGCGCCGGTGTCCGGAGGGATGAGGCGAGGTTGGGAGAGAGGTAGCTAGCCAGTGCTCCACTCGTGGCATCGCTCCATAGCCGTGCTGTCTGATTTCCGTCACGTTGCCGTAGTCCAGCCGGGGGGACGTAGACAGCCGCGCAGAGAAGGGTTTATTCCACGATTTTTGGAAAAAATGGTAGGGGCTGACGCGGGGGTGGCGCTCGGTGTTGCAGAAACCACTCATCTAGTTTGCTGCCTACCGATGGCTGCTGCACCGCCTGTGGCCAAACAATGTGTAGCTTGGCCACGGTCCGCGTCACCACTTCCAACAACTCCTCGTATCCCAGCGAGGGCTGATGACATTCCGTTTCCTCCATGCTAAGCACATCTAGCTCCTCAGAGCCAGATCGTGTCAGCCTCTCCAGACTCACCCCTCGAGTGGGAGAAACCGAGAAATGGGCTCCCGATCGGGGGACGAGGGGAGGAGGATTCCGCGGACGAGGACCGGAAAAAGCCCTCAGCCGTTCCGGCACCCTCGGCGATCTCGCGTTGTGATCCCCAGGATCGGAGCCGCTGCGACGCCTCAGCGCATCCGACCATCCTCTAGGAAAAGAGCCACTCGAGACCTCAGCACCCTCGGGGGCAGGGCCTCGCAATGGTCGCAGGCAGCCCTCTCGAGAGCCGCCTGAGCATGCGACATCCTCAGGCATGAGATGCACATCCCGTGGGTATCACCCTCCGTGATGAAACGCTCACATGGAAAGACACACTGTCGGAATCGCTTCAACATGATCTTCTGCTTCGTCTCGACGTCAGGTAGGATAATGGAGATTCCAAATATAGCCAGAGTGCCTGCTGAATAGAAAGAAGCTAATGTGTCCTATGTGCTGGCGTGCTTATATACCCCCTCCAGTTACGCCGTCACACACTACCGTTCTAGTAACACCAATAGGATTGGAGTAGTTTCATTCATAGTTCAGCCCTGCCACGCCCAGAGGCGTTCCCATAGTGTCGTCACTGACGCAGTTCGAGTTCCCTCGAAGGGGAACAAAACATTAAATAAAATTAACCAAATTGTTATATATATATAAATTCCACAGGCTAACTTGCATAGGGCAACTAACAGAAACTTTAATAAACTCATGTTCAAATTCATTTTAGCCTCTGCTAACAAGGGATATTCAGATGTCAACTTGCAGGAGGAAGGATTACTCTGGACAAGGAATACGTCTCTCTGTCTTTACTGTGGAGGATGGACACATTACATGTCATGTTACAGTCAGAACGCTCTCACTCCAATGCAGGTGAACTTTTCCAGTTCACACCAGAGCCAGCGAGCAATCACTAACTACAAAAACATGTGCCAAAAAAAACGGAACTAGGAACAAGCTGCCACCTACGTAGTTCCAGTAAGAAGGTCGCATACCCATTTCACAAAACTTATACTGTTATTATCTCAACATGACTGACATAATGTATGTAAGTTATATGCTGTAGTTATAAGATGACCGACATACTAAATAACATGGGGCACGAAAAGAATAATTGTACCAGTATTACAATAACAATATTCTTAAACGTTGTGCTGCTGATTTATATCAGAGGAACAGTGACAACAAAAGGTCTAATTTAAAATGAGTTCCAATTTTGAGAGCCATTCTCCCTTTTGATATCTGTCTCTTCAGGGCAAAGGTCTGGATCTATTGTCCCACAGGGCTCTGTGAGTGAGTTTCTCCTGGTTTCCCACACTCTGTCCTTTCACTGCTTTCACTGGAGGAACAATAGAAGTGTGTCTTATTATGCACATCATTAAATACAATGTCTGAACTACTTAAAGAGGGAAATGGTTAACTTGAAACTTTTTACATTAAAACTGACAATTACCCTAAAATGATGCTTCAGCAAAATTGTCTTTGAGTTAGAAACATTCTCATTTGGTTTGATGACTTGACTTACTGGAAACAGTGACAAAGCTTTGATATTCCCTTTTCATCACATTTAAATTTGTCATACATAGTTTTACTTTAAATGTGTTGGTTATGTGTAAGCATTTTCTGAATGAGCTGAATTTGATCTTAATGTGCCAATCAAAGGTTGGAACAATGATGGAGACCTATCAATTAGAGAGTTTCTCTGTCACCATTATAAAGAGGGTACCAAATAAACACAAGGACATGACAACAGAAACATTTCAGCTGACAGCGTTTGTTTATTCAACACAAGAAGTGAGACAACTCCAACTAGAGGTGATGATACATCACAACAACAACTTGTAGATTCCTACAAGACACACTGTACTCAGAGAGAGTAAAGGAACAGCTGTCTTTATAAACGACAATGATTTACAATATTTGACAACACAGTACAGATTTTTTTTTTTATGAATGGATTAAAACTTTTGCACTTAGAGAACAAAAAATAAAAACTGACCTTAGAACAGATCACATTGCTCTTAATAAGTTTTCAATTCAATTGATTCTCAAAGTTTTAAATTACATTGTCACTGGAAAATTGCGACAATGTGACATTAAATAAACCTTTTACTTTAAAAACATAAACATATTGATCTTAAAACAGATAATTTTTCAAAATTCACCTAAGGTGAAGTGAAGTTTATGATAAAATGTCCATCAAAAGGACAATTAAGATTTTAGATCAATTCAAAAGAATCAATAACTTTCAAGAGGGAACAAGTATCACCATTGCATTATATTTTAACAATATATAATGTATAGTGAATTATAAATCTGTCACAGGAAAATTGTGACCTTAAGCATAACTTTTAGAAAAAGGATACACATTTGGATCTTAGAACAGATCAGTTTTGAGTTACCAGAGAGATTTATTGCCATTATGACAATATGTACACAACAACGTCAGTTACAGTTTTCTGATCACTATGATCAAAATCAATCAAAATATATCATGTTTCCAGAGCATTAATTACTACCAATACATGAAGTACAGTGAAGTATAATAATAATTGCTGATGCAATCAGATTTGGTTCATGCAACATGCATGACAAGATGTTCTCTTTCTAAACTTGAAAGATATTGTTGCTGTAACTTCCTTAGGAAATTACATCTTGCACAAAGAAAAAACACAAAATGCTGCTTCTGTACATACAGAAGAACAAGTCCATAAATTTCAAAGAATTCAGTTCAGTAATCTTTGACCAATGTGGTCATCTCAGTTTGTTTGGTACCAACTCCAGTCTGTAGGTGTCTACCACGGCCTCCAGGGGGCGCTCCTGGCCAGACTCTTCTCTTTGATAATGCTGGTCTGGACTGTGGAGCTCAGAAGAGAGATGTCAGCCTCTCTCACCGTCTTATCAGAGGAAGACTGCAGCTTGTTGAAGTGGTTCACAAGTCTTCTCTGGGACTGTGTCTCCACCTCCTCTTTAGACAGGAAGTGATTCACCTCCTGGACACAGCTGGAGTAGCCCTGATCGACAGCTGCTGAGTCCACAGCTTGATTCTGCTGTTGCAGTCGTCTCAGGACACAAACTGTCATCTCCAGGATGTCTGGTTTCTCCAGCTTGGAGTCTGGCTGCTGTTTGAGGAACTCTGGACCCAGGAGAGACTTGAGCTTCTCAATGCTGCTGTTGATTCGAACTAGAGAAAGAAGAACAAAGTCATTAATACACTTATTCTGCAGTATAATGTTAGCATGAACAAAAACAGTCTCTCATGAATTACATTTAGTCTCCTTGAATCTTCAGTTTACCTTGTGGGTCAGAGTCAGATGCTCCTGAGAAACGGTCATTGCTGCAGTGATTGTAGGTGCCATGGTTGGATCTCTGTGCTGTAGAGGTCTCTGTTGAGAGAATCTGATCTCTGCTGGCTTCATCCCTCCTTCTTATAGACCAACATCTCCATATGAATGTGTGGGTTTGGGTCTGACTGGAGTTTCTCACAGTCTAAGCCAATCAGAGAGCTCAGTGAGACAATCAGGCATGTGGAGCAGCAGTACGTTGAATGCTGTTATTGCCTGGGGGACAATGATTAGATCTCAGGGGAAAAGGTGGAGGACTAGGGGGTGATGGAGAGAGACTCAGAGAGCTCTGTGTGAATCTGGGAAAGTGGTGACCCTGTAGAGAGAGCAGATCTGCTGCCTGATGCTGGGATCAATGACTTTGACTGAGCACACACTGATCATCTCAACACACGTGGGACACTGGCAGTTAATTGCATCTAGGGTAAAGACTTCATAGCCTACTTGACACATAGCATTTTTTTGTAATTTATTTAAATTTAGCTATAATGCTGTATTTGAGCCACAACCTAAACTCTAGCTCATGCAATTAATGCAATTTTCCTCCATTTTTGTTGATAATTCAGTTAGATTTTTCATTTCTTAAAATTCAACCTTTTATTTTATTGAACATACTTTATTTTAGAAAATCACTTTTCTCAGATATTATTGACACTGACAGTTTAGCTTCTATGGTGAAAAAAGGACTTGTATGTTCCATATAGCTAAATTAAAGTATTTCTGAATTTTTAAAATCTAAATGCTGTTTTGGCCACAACCTAAAGTCCGAATAATGCCAATTTTCTTCATTTTGTCTGATAATTCAGTCAATTTTCATTTCTTACAATTTAACCTTTTGTTTTAGTGAAAATGCTGTATTTGGGTAAATCATTTAAATTAGCTAACAAGAGTATTATGCCCATGATGTATTTAAAAGATATTCTAAAAAAACTTGAGAACAACGATCATTCTGATGTTAAGATGTTACACAGTCTTCTGGCTTGTGCCTTGTAGTCAGTGTGGGTAGAAAGTTGGTTTCAGTTTCCCACACTGACTCTCTGAATGCTGTGGTCAATGAACAACAGAAGGACTTTGAATGGAGCTTTTGTGACTGATACTGGAAGTGTGTTGAAGTAGAACCAGAGCCTGACGTCACCAAGCATCTGGAGGGAAAGAACACCATTGGCTGGTTCTGACAGTTTGTACGGCGTAAAATTATTATGGACATTTCATCATAAAGAATCAGCTCAGTTGATTTCGAAAATGATTTAGTCAGCTTCCAATCATTGTTGTACATGTGGCCGTCCAATTATATTTGTGCCTTTGTATCAGCAACTGGATAAAACCTCAGAATGAGGGTGGGAGGTTGAGGCAGCTGTTTCCTGAAGTGTGCCAAATCTCTTTGAAGAAAAGTCTGCTGCTGGTGAGGTTGAGGGTGCTAATCATGCTAAACTCTGCTCTCCAGAGTTTTCCCACACAACCTTAGGAATGCGTTTAGGATTCTGTTTTTCACACATGGAGGTCATTAATTGTCTTTGCTTTGTTTTTACACTGAAAAGTTCAACCAGATTTAATTTAAAAATACATAAAGTCAATATCAGGTGTAATGGAAACCACAGGAAAAATGACCAGTACTATACAAAAGCGTCATTGTCTGCCAGATGATTAGCTCATCGGGGAACGCATGGACCCGTGTATTTTCCAGCACCAGTTTCAGAACAGCAACAGATAGTTCTGTTAAGCTCAGGATGGACAATTAACTCTTTTAACTCCTCCCTCATGATATGTGTGCTTAAGTGAATAAAATTAGAATCTGCTTATGTTTCTTCAACTGTAGAACAAGTTCACTGCCATTAAAAAAACAACATAAAATGTAACAAACTAAAGTCACCATGTGACTCTTGGCTTAGTTCATATTTACTCTTATAAAAGCACTGACCTTTGTGTTATCAATATTAAACAATGTTCCCTTTTTCTAGTATAATTTTGTTAATTCAGAAAATCGTATGGTTCTAATCCTGAATTTTTAATTAAATTAAACAAACAAATATCATACTTTATAAGTTATAAGTAACAATCCACTATCACATTTAACTGAACTGACGGAAACTCATACAATGACTTTTCAAAGCTGCAACTTCAGAAAATAACATATGTGAAACTGGTGATGTTGATTTTCATCACTTGAAAAAAGAGCAGAGTCTATGATTTGAAACTGGCTCCAAAATTTGCAACTTCTTAGCCTGCGCCCCTTTTAATCTCTTCAGGGCAAAGGTCTGGATCTATTGTCCCACAGGACCATGTGAGTGAGGTTCCTCTGGTTTCCCACACTCTGTGCTCTCACTGCTTTCACTGCAGGAACAATAGAAGTGTGTCTTATATTGCATCTCATTAAATACAATGTCTGAACTATTTAAAGACGGAAATATTTTCATCTTTTCTATATTACATAAATATAATGCAAAAACTATGAGGCAGCAAAATTGTCTTTGAGTTGGAAAATGTTCTCATTTCGTTTTTGATGACTTGAGCTACTGCAGGTAAGAAACAGTGATGTAGCATTGATATTTCCTCTTCATCAAAAATCTTGATGGAACTGGGTCATAATTTGCTGTTTAGGTAACATATGCACAAACAATTAATGTGTATTCAATTTAATTTAAAAATTTTGCAATTCAAGGTTGGAACATTGATATGATTCATTTGAAATTACATTACAACGTCCTTCTTTTATCAGTATGAAGAAGGTAACCATGAGACACAAAAACATGAGAACACAAAATTTGCAGCTGGCAGTGTTTGTTTATTCAACAAAGCACAATGAGCCACATGAAGTGAGAAAACTTCAACTAGAGGTGATGATACATCACAACCACAACTTGTAGATTTCTACATGACACACTGTACTCAGAGAGAGTAAAGGAACAGCTGTCTTTATAAAAGACAATGATTTACAATATTTGAGGACACAGTACTCACTGTCCTTTGAGAATTCTCTCCCAACAGGATTCAAATTGTTGCATTTAGTGAACAAAAGACAAAAATAGTACAGGTCACATTGTTCTTAATAAAAAAAATACATTGCCACTGGAAAACTGTGGCACTGTAAGATTGAACAAGCCTTTAACAATAAAAGGATAAACATATTGATCTGAAAACAGATTGTTCATCAATAATCACATAAAGTAAGGGAAAGTCCATTATGTCCATCAAAAGGACAGTTAAAATTTTGGATCAATTTAAAATCATCAATACCTTTCGAGATGTAACAAATATCACCATTGCATTATATTATACCAACACACAACACAGTGGAGCATAAAAGTATCACAGCAAAATTTTGACCTAGAAAAAAGGTTCAACGTTTTGAACTGGCGACTTGTCCAGGGTGTACCCTGCCTTTCACCCGATGTCAGCTGGGATTGGCCCCAGCTGCCCGCGACCCTGTATGCAGGATAAGCGGTTTACGATGGTCGGATGGATGGATCAACATTTGGATCTTAGAACAGATCAGTTTTGAGTTATCAGAGAGATTTAAGTGAAATAAAGTCCATTATGACAATATGTCCATAAAAAAGACAGTTAAAATTGTCTGATCACTATGATCAATAACAATTTGAAGATAAAAATGTTACCATGGCATTAATTACTACCAATACATGAAGTACAGTGAAGTATAATAATAATTGCTGATGCAATCAGATTTGGTTCGTGCAAAATGCATGACAAGATGTTTCTCTTTCTAAACTTGAAAGATATTGTCATTTCCTTAGGAAACGTCATCGTGCACAAAGAAAAAACACAAAATGCAGCTTCTGTACATACAGAAGAACAAATCTGAAAAAATTCAAGGAATTCAGTTCAGTAATCTTTGACCAATGTGGTCATCTCAGTTTGTCTGGTACTAACTCCAGTCTGTAGGTGTCTACCACGGCCTCCAGGGGGCGCTCCTGGCCAGACTCTTCTCTTTGGTGATGCTGGTCTGGACTGTGGAGCTCAGAAGAGAGAAGTCAGCCTCTCTCAGCGTCTTATCAGAGGAAGACTGCAGCTTGTTGAAGTGGTTCACAAGTCTTCTCTGGGACTGTGTCTCCACCTCCTCTTTGGACAGGAAGTGGTCCACCTCTTGGACACACCTGGAGTAGCCCTGATCGACAGCTGCTGAGTCCACAGCTTGATTCTGCTGCTGCAGTCGTCTCAGGACACAAACTGTCATCTCCAGGATGTCTGCTTTCTCCAGCTTGGAGTCTGGCTGCTGTTTGAGGAACTCTGGACCCAGGAGAGACTTGAGCTGCTCAATGCTGCTGTTGATTCTCTCTCTGCGTAACTTCTCCACCAGAGGCTTTCTGAGCTGCAGAAACAAAGAGCAATGTCATTGATAAATTTATTCAAGGTGTAGTGTTAGTATAAAAAGACAACATTTCATAAAATATTGAGTCTCCTTGAATCTTCAGTTTACCTTGTGGGTCAGAGTCAGATGCTCCTGAGAATCGGTCATTGCTGCAGTGATTGTAGGTGCCATGGTTGGATCTCTGTGCTGTAGAGGTCTCTGTTGAGAGAATCTGATCTCTGCTGGCTTCATCCCTCCTTCTTATAGTCCTGCATCTCCATATGAATGTGTGGGTTTTGGTCTGGTTGGAGTTTCTCACAGTCTTAGCCAATCAGAGAGTTTGGTGAGATAATCAGGCATGTGGAGCAGCAGCACGCTGAATGCTGTTACTGCCTGGGGGACAATGATTAGATCTCAGGGGAACAGGTGGTGGACTGGGGGGGTGATAGAAGGAGGATTACAGAGCTCTGTGTGAATCTGGGAAAGTGGTGACCCTGTAGAGAGAGCAGATCTGCTGCCTGATGCTGTTATCCATGACTTTGACTGAGTACACGCTGATCATCCCATCACACAATTGAAGGTATAAAATTTCTGATTTAGAAATTACATATTAAATAAATATTAAAACTAAGTGGAATTATTTTTGCTTGGTCTTTTATTTAGCCAATACCTGAAATGTAGCAGGTCACATCTATTTTAAATTCATAATTCAGTTAGATATGACCTTTAGTTTATTAACTTAATAACTTTCACTTCAGTTTTGCTCAATCAAAAAAGTAATAATTTCCAAACTGTAATCAGATGTTAGTGATGCACATTCAGGCACTTAATACTCAACATAATTATCATGCTGCTTTCCAGATGTAGCAGAGTCATTTGACACGTGCCTTGTTGTCAGTGTGAGTAACAAGTTGAGCTCAGTTTCCCACACTGACTCCCTGAATGGTGTGGTCAATGAACCACAAAGGGACTTCTGTGACAGATGCTGGCTGTGTGTTGTAATTGAAACAGAGCCTGACATCACCAGCCATCTGGAGGGAAAGGACGCCATTGGCTGGCACAGATAGTTTGTAAAAACAAACATTTTGGTGAACAATGTATCAAAAAAAATCACCAAAATGATTTATCATCTCATACGTTTTTCAGTGTCTAATCAGTCATATATTGTGCACCTCCCCTCCAGTCATATTCACGTCTCATTACCATCAACTGGATTGAAATTTCAGCTCTACACATGAGTGTGGGAGGTTTCCTTGGGGGGGAGATGTATCCTGAAGTGTGTCAAATCCCTTTGGAGAATCGCTTGCTGCTGGTGTGATGGGTGTCAGTCACATTAAACTCTGCACTCCAAAGCGTTCCCAAATTCCGTCCATTAGCAGGAAAAAGACATGTGCCTCTCAACAAACTGACTTTTTGAGGATCCTGCTGTTTGGCACAAACATTGTGGGCACTAACAAACTATTTAACGCTTCCCATTGTAGTTAGGAAGGACACTTAAATATGATGTGAAAGTTACATTATTTGTCGCAAATATTAGACATGTAGATAAGTAATTAATAGTGTAAATTTCTTAATTGCAAATCTCATGTTTTTGTACTGAGTTGGGGGCAAATCATCAGGGAAGATTGTATGAATATGCAATTACATTCCACTCATATAATGATTAATGAGACAGGAAATGGATATTGGACATAACCCTACTTCTGAAAATTGACATTACCTGCTAACCTAAAAAAAACCCCTTAAAAATGGTCTTAAGTTATCCAGTAATGTTCAGGCTTGCGTTCAATGTCATTTAAGGTCTTGTGGTCTGATAGATATTTCTTTATGTTAACCAGCCTTTTAGCAAATGATCTGTGTGCAATAGTTTCTGTTTCAGCTGTTTGCTGCTCAAAGCCTGATTATCAAATGTTTATAATTCTGAGAAACACAGTGTTGAATGAATTAACCATATTTGTATGTGTAAATCTGTTAAAGATTTTAACTTATATAGTACTAGAGACAGAAACTTTTTCAAACTCTGTGCTAAAAATATGCGCTCTCACTCAATGAAATGACAATATTCTGAAAAGTTGTGCTGCTGATTTACATCAGAGGAACAGTGACAACCAAATGTAAAATGAGTTCCAATATTGAGAGCCACTCTCCCTTTTGATCTCTGTCTCTTCAGGGCAAAGGTCTGGATCTATTGTCCCACAGGACCATGTGAGTGAGGTTCCTCTGGTTTCCCACACTCTGTGCTCTCACTGCTTTCACTGCAGGAACAATAGAAGTGTGTCTTATATTGCATCTCATTAAATACAATGTCTGAACTATTTAAAGACAGAAATATTTTCATCTTTTCTATATTAGATAAATATAATGCAAAAACTATGAGGCAGCAAAATTGTCTTTGAGTTGGAAAATGTTCTCATTTCGTTTTTGATGACTTGAGCTACTGCAGGTAAGAAACAGTGATGTAGCATTGATATTTCCTCTTCATCAAACATCTTGATGGAACTGGGTCATAATTTGCTGTTTAGGTAACGTATGCACAAACAATAAATATGCATTGAATTTAATTTTAAAATTTTGCAATTCAAGGTTGGAACATTGATATGATTCATTTGAAATTACATTACAACGTCCTTCTTTTATCAGTATGAAGAAGGTAACCATGAGACACAAAAACATGAGAACACAAAATTTGCAGCTGGCAGTGTTTGTTTATTCAACAAGGCACAATGACCCACATGAAGTGAGAAAACTTCAACTAGAGGTGATGATACATCACAACAACAACTTTCCATAAGACACACTGTACTCAGAGAGAGTAAAGGAACAGCTATCTTTATAAACAATGATTTACAATATTTGAGGACACAGTACTCACTGTCCTTTGAGATTTTTCTCCCAACAGGATTCAAATTGTTGTATTTAGTGAACACAATAAAAAACAGTAAAAACTGACCTTACAACAGGTCACATTGTTCTTAATAACGAATTAACTTAATTGATTTTCAAAATTAAAGAAATTACATTGTCACTGGAAAACTGTGGCAGTGTGAGATTAAACAAACCTTCAACAATAAAAGGATAAACATATTGATCTGAAAACAGATCATTTGTCAAAAATCACCTACAGTGAGGGGAGGTCCATGACAAAATGTCAGAAAGACAGATAAGATGTTTGATCAATTCAATATAACAAATATTATTATATTATACCAACACATGATGCAGTGAAGCATAAAAGTATCACAGGGAAATTGAGACCTTAAGCAAACCTTTAAGAAAAAAGGATAATTATTTGGATCTTACAACAGATCAGTTTTGAGTTATCAGAAAGATTTAACTGAAATCCATTATGACAAAATGTCCATAACAAGGTCCGTCAAAGTTTTCTGAACAACATGATCAGTCCCAATCAAAACATAATATATGTTTCCAGAGCATTAATTACTACCAACACAGGAAGTACAGTGAAGTATAATAATAATTGTTGATGCAATCAGATTTGGTTCATGCAAAATGCATGACAAGATGTTCTCTTTCTAAACTTGAAAGATATTGTTGCTGTCATTTCCTTAGGAAATGTCATCTTGCCCAAAGAAAAAAAACAAAATGCAGCTTCTGTACATACAGAAGAACAAGTCCATAAAATTTCAAAGAATTCAGTTCAGTAATCTTTGACCAATGTGGTCATCTCAGTTTGTCTGGTGGTAACTCCAGTCTGTAGGTGTCTACCACGGCCTCCAGGGGGCGCTCCTGACCAGACTCTTCTCTTTGGTGATGCTGGTCTGGACTGTGGAGCTCAGAAGAGAGAAGTCAGCCTCTCTCAGCTTCTTATCAGACAGAGACTGCTGCTTGTTGAAGTGGTTCACAAGTCTTCTCTGGGACTGTGTCTCAACCTCCTCTTTAGACAGGAAGTGATTCACCTCCTGGACACAGCTGGAGTAGCCCTGATCGACAGCTGCTGAGTCCACAGCTTTATTCTGCTACTGCAGTCGTCTCAGGACACAAACTGTCATCTCCAGGATGTCTGCTTTCTCCAGCTTGGAGTCCAGAGGCTTTCTAAGCTGCAGAAATAAGAACAAAGTCATTAATACACTTATTCTGCAGTTTAATTTTAGCATGAACAAAGACAAGATCTCATGAATTACATTTAGTCTACTTGAATCTTCAGTTTACCTTGTGGGTCAGAGTCAGATGCTCCTGAGAATCGGTCATTGCTGCAGTGATTGTAGGTGCCATGGTTGGATCTCTGTGCTGTAGAGGTCTCTGCTGAGAGAATCTGATCTCTGCTGGCTTCATCCCTCCTATTTAAAGTCCCACATCTCCATATGAATGTGTGGGTTTGGGTCTAGTTGGAGTTTCTCACAATCTCAGCCAATCAGAAATCTTAATGAGACAATCAGGCATGTGGAGAAGTAGCACGCTGAATGCTGTTATTGCCTGGGGGACAATGGTTAGATTTCAGGGGAACAGGTGGACGACTGGGGGGAGATGGAGAGCAACTCAGAGAGCTCTGTGTGATTCTGGGAAAGTGGTGACCCTGTTGAGAGAGCAGATCTGCTGCCTGATGCTGGGATCAATGACTTTGACTGAGCACACACTGATCATCTCAACACATGTGGGACACTGACAATTTATTGCTTCTATGGTAAAAAAAACACTTTGTATGTTCCATGTAGCTAAATAAAATTTTTTCAGAATTTTTTTTTTCTCAACGTAAAATCTAGTCCAAAAAATACAATTTTCCTCCATTTTGTCTTGATAATTCAGTCAAATTTTTAATTTCTTGCAATTTAATCTTTTGTTTTAGTGAACATTCTTTATCCGCTATTAATAAGAGCGGCATTTCCATGATGTATTTAAAAGATATTCTAAAAAACTGTTGATCATTCTGATGTCCAGATGTTGCAGATTCATCTGGCTTGTGCCTTGTAGTCAGTGTGGGTAGAAAGTTGGTTTCAGTTTCCCACACTGACTCCCTGAATGCTGTGGTCAATGAACAGCTGAAGGACTTTGAATGGAGCTTTTGTGACTGATACTGGACGTGTGTTGAAGTAGAACCAGAGCCTGACGTCACCAAGCATCTGGAGGGAAAGGACGTCATTGGCTGGTTCTGACAGTTTGTACAGTTTGAAATTATTGTGGAAATTTCATCGTAAAGAATCAACTCAATTGATTGACAAATCAATTTTGTCAGCTTCCAATCATTGTCGCATATTTTTAACATAATTGTGCCTTTGTATCGGCAACTGGATAAAACATTGAGCTCTACA